TATAGTTGTGGAGTGTCCGGTGGAGCGGTGTGTCGTGGGTGTGGGGGGGGGGGGGGGTGTTCATTGATGGTCCCTGGTCCGTGGGCCTTTCTGCTGATTGTCTGCTTTAATCCTCAACCTCATTATCACCTCCAGGTCCGGCAGTGGCAGTAAATGAATCTATCTGCTGAGCGTCGGAGGTTCACACCTCCAGCCTGGTAATTAGCCTGAGGTGCAAACACACGAGAAGGATGAAGGGAAGAAAAATACGGACGACGGAGAGAGTATGACCGTCTTCAGTCGGTATGTATCGTCGGTCTTTGTCATAATTAGGTACTGTACACGATGTTGTTTAGTTTGTAATTACGACTCATTCATTATTTACCGTCTCTAAGGTCAAGCACCGAATTAAAGGTATGGATTCACTGCTTAGCAGACGTACGTGATGCCAAATGAAATACCAATAATTCAATATTTGACATTTGTTCTCGTTCAATCAGCGCACTGACGTTGACCCTGAGAGGCAGAAAAAAAAAAAAGGAAAACACAGAGGGTCCTCGGTTTACGCCGTCCTCGACCTACAGCATTTTCTGCTTATATCGCCATCTCCCAAAACTTTATCGAGATAGTCTCCTTCCATTGTTCCGATGTGCGGTGTTAAAACTGGCCAAAAAACGAATGGCGAAGACGTCAGACAAATACATCATTATGCAGTGATATACACGTTTGGTTTGTAATTACGGCTCATTAATTATTTACCGTCTTTAAGGTCAATCACCAGTTAAATGTGTGGATTCACTACTAACGAGACATACGTGATGCCAAATTAAATACCAATAATTCAATATAGAGTCTGAATGACCTATTATTTTAAAATATGTCCAGATTATATTTAAATAAAGAAAGTAAATGGATATGACTGGATTTTCTTTTTTCAATGAAGTAAATTAGTAAAAATTAAGTATATTTCTTCACTGTGGCCCTGTACCAAATGACCTATGGACTGGTACTGGTCCGCGGACCAGGGGTTGGGGACCCCTGATCTATACAGTCTTCCATTTACAACCGGCCCTTCAAGGGGAACTGTACTGCTGATGTGGCCCCCGGTGAAAATGGGTTTGATACACGTGCATTAGAGGAAGGGAACTCCAATGTGAGTACTCCTTCTATGATGAAAGTAAGTATGTAAAGTACTTTTTAATTCAGGAACAAATGCATTACTTGGTAAAAGGTTATGGTTAAAAAAGGTTATGAACGCAAGTTATTATTATTGTTATTATTGGATTCATGCTAGTAAAAATGCATACGATTCTAAAATTACGATATATGAGATCTTTTTGACTGAAAGCAGCAGAACAGCTCCTCCTCTGTCTGCAGGAAAATAATTGTTGTTGTTTTTTTTTGTTTTTTTTTTCTAAATAAAATGTCATTGTACTACAGGTGAAACGGACACGAGCCCTTTGGAGAAATCCAACACAAATCTGAGCCGCTACCTTGAAGAAGAACTATAATCATGTATTATTCAGAATAAGGAAAAGGACAGTGTGTAATAGAGAAGATCCTAAAGCCATTCCCTCTGCTGTATTATTCATGGAATTCAAATAACAGACAAAATCATTTTCTTAAAATACCTCAATCATTTTTCAATGAAAGGGCTAAAAAACGGGGAGTAAACCAACAGAACTAGCACATCAGAGGTGTTGAAGTGACCAAGACTACTGTTCCTACAGCTGAAACGCTGTATATTTTAAGTTGGCTCATTAGTTCCTGGTACTTGTTCTGGTTCCCGACATACGTACAGTAGGTTCCTGGTGTTGTTTATTTGAGGAATAATCTCAGTTCCAGGTACTTTCCTAATCCCCTTTCTGCTGTACCTGATGCGCTAATGTATTTGGGTCCTAGTACTGTTCCAAGTGCCAGGTTCTCAAAAATCGTCAGTTCTCAGTACTATTATCTGTTATATTCACTAGTTCTTGGTACTATTGTTTCCAGTTAAAATGCTTGTTATATTCACTAGTTCTTGGTACTATTTCTTTCAGTTAAAATGCTTATAATCTTTGTTTCTATCACTTTTTACTTGGTCTTGCAATGGAAATATAATACCCCTTGTTACTGGTTATAGTTCCTGTAGTGGAAACACAAGCTGTAGTTCTTGGTACTGTTGATAGAGTTTCTGTGCTGTATGTAAATATCCTCAGTACTATTACTTCATTTTACAAAGGGAACTCCTGAGGGATTAATAAAGTTCCATCCATCCATTCATACATCTATCTTTTCATCCATCATCCACATATATATTATCCATCCATCCATCATCCATCCATCCAACCATCTATTATCATCC